TTAAATTGTAGTGTGTTTTGAGAAATATCATTTTGTAAAATCCACAAGTACATGCATGGCTGTTTGTTTCCGCTGAAAAAAAAACTTGAATGTTAATAATTGTGTTTCATATCGTGATGACGGCCAAATACAAGTTATTTGTATACATGATGATAAAAAATATTGGTTCCTAAAATTACTGAAATGTCATACTACTTAATCAGATCAACAAAAACAGATCAATAAAAACAAACATTTTTCTTTAAGCTTTTGACATTTAGTCTTCTTCTGTTTATATAATAACAAATGACCACAACAACCGTTCAATATCTTAACCGACTTTGGCAATCTTGCAATTTAGACCAGACCATTCACCATTTTCAGGTAAAATTTCTGGACTTTGTACTGACAAAATAGTGAACAGTGCAAACCATGATCTTAAGGCATTGATCGAAGATGAGTGGAGGGAACTGTCCATTATCAAATTTAAGAGATATCAAAATTGGTCAGCCGGCACTAAAAGTAGCCCTTGGCCAGACTGCACAAGCCTAAAAGTTGCAAATAAATTTTTGGTTCCAGCAGATTCAAAGTTAAAATATGGCCATTTTTATGTGATCAGGTGAGCTAAATTGCTTACTTTAATCAATACAGAAATTCTTCCGTCCATAATACCCAATATCTGTTTTCCATTGTACACCTAATGTAGGCTTGTGAAACATTTGAATACATAAATAATAGAGTTAATTAAAGTTACAGATGCAGAAACGAAGATAGTAAATTAGATCTTCTGGGACATAACAAAACTGCACTGTTCCTCAATGAAACATATCCATCTTAAAATTTCTCATGTAAAAAGCCATTAAAAATTGCTAAGCACCAATTTTAAAACAAAACCAGACTTGTGGTGCCATGCAAAAAATGCAAGAAAATAAATTTGCGCAATTCGAGTCCTAAGAATTTCTGTGACAGCCTTTGTAACAAGTAATATAGATACAGAGAATTTTTTCGCTTGTTGTGCAGTTAATTGTGAGGCTTTATATGATTGGCTGACATAATTGTTGTGCAGTAAATTGTGAGGCTCTATTACGATTGGCTGACATAACTAACAAACTTTTCATCCTGTTGTCCCTATACTTTAAAATGGACTGTTCCAAATGGAAGTTTGACATGTCCATCCAACAAACTGAGTAGTTTACCACCGAGGTTCCCCAAACTAGCTGGATAGCATCCTTACACTAATGAAACCGAAATCCCTTTTGGGATTTGAACACACAGTGGTGAGGGTAAGTGGTTTAAAGTTAACAACCATAACCACTCAGCCATGGACACCCCTTCTGAATTTACATCAAAATTCCAAAAGTTTTGGCAAGTCCCGCAGGTCAAAGGTTTTGAGAAGTTACACTGTAATGGACTGGCCTGGCTTTCACTAACGTCCTTAAACTGAGACAAATCTCAATCTCTCAGTTTCTCAGCTTAGAAAAATCTCAAGACTTGAGCTGAGATTTTGACTTTGACAATGTTAGGGCAAGCCAGGCCTGATGTTTCCTTGAGCAAAAACTTTACACTTAATGCTTTAAAGTATGTGTTGGATGCTTCAAACATGTGACTATAAGCTATTAATAGTTTCCACGACAATCAAACTAAAACAAATTCTAAGTAAACAAAGAAAAGATGTTGAACAGCACGTAAAATAAATTCTGTATAAACCTGTATTCCTTCTTACAGCACAGCCATAATTTATTAACAAATGTCTTTCCTTAAGAATCATTCTTCAGTATAAAATTATGAAGTAAAAATTTGATCAATAACTTTTAAATGTTCTCCGGAAATTGGATTACTTATTTAAGAGCAATCTCCAGACTTTTATTAGACAGTTTAAATGACCTAGAAGGCTTGTTTAAGACATTTTTACACAAGAAATAAGAATATGTTTTACACAAGAAATAACAAACTTTGTAACAATCTGACAGATTTCTAATATTGACTTCCATTTTCAGAACAGTCCTTTATTTATTTTTTCGGATATCAAGATAAAATTTTAACAATTTGAAGTCGGACATGAAGAACAGTGCCAGGTTAGCCGTCACGGATGTGCAGTCTGGCATCGCTGTATAAAGGTGACAAAAGCTCATCACTTTTGGTTCCAGGAGCGTAAGTGTAAAACCTAAGCCTTTCAATAGAGAAAAGTTACAGCACCAGTGACCTTGACCCATTTATACATGAACATCTACCAAATGGACATGTCAAGGGAAACAATTTCAATACCAGTTCTTTTATTTTCTTTTTGTTGTTCAAAGGGCCAAGTCCCCTTATTCTTTTATAACCAAACGAATCTCATCTGAAATGGCACAACCCAAGTAAAATACCAACAGAGGTCAATTTATGCAAAAATAACCCTTATTGCATTAGCCACAGAGTAGAATGATTGGAGATATATGCTGCAAAATCAATCTGTAATAGCAAATAAAATGTAAATTATTACTTAAATCTTAAATCTTTTTACTTTTCTTAAAATCTTAAAATACGTTTTCCTCAAGTTTGATTTTCTTGAAATATTTTGGCATCAATTGGAGGCCTGAAGCTTTTAAAACATGAAATTAAAATCTAACTAACAGTCAAATCGGCAAAAAGTATTTTAGCAACAAATCTGTGACAATAATTTTTTGTAGTAACTGTTTTAATAATTCATGGAACATTTTGCAGAAGGACTTCTAAAATCAATACCAACTAAATATCTATGCTTTTATGTTGAGAAATTAGAAAGTTAAGATTAAAATCACAACTTTAAAGCAGCACTCATACAAAATTCATGCTAATTCTTATGAAAATTTTGAAAATATATTTAAAAGTAAAATATTTTAAGGTGGACAAAAAATTTATTTATGCATTGCAAATGGCGCTTTTATGTTAAGAAATAAGAAAGTGTACATTTTAAGACATGGGATTCATATCATATCTTAAAAGCTACCAAAAATTGCTATTAAAGTAGTATGCTTCCAGATTCATGCTAATTTTTATGAAAATTTTAAAAATGTATTTAAAAGTAAAATATTGTGAAGTGAACAAAAAAGTAATTTACACATTGCATAATTATGGCATTAAAAAAAATATGAAAATTATCAAAAATAGGTCAGAACGTGCAAAACAAAGCCCTTATTGTGTTAGTCACGCAGTAGTTATATGATGATAAATACTGTAAATTTAGTTATTAATTGCATAATGTGTAAATTGTTTTTTGAATTGTGAATATTAAAAGGTTTTTACTTTCTGTTAATCTTAGTAAACTTTCTCAAGGTAGATATAATTTCTTGAAATATTTTTTGCTCATCTGGATGCATGCAGCTTTAAAGAAGGGAATGGAATTTTTATAAGTTTTTTTTGTTTTGATTTTGTACCATTTGATGTAGGTTGTGGGCAAAATTTTACAGCCATTAAATTTCTGCTCATTCAGATTTTCCAGAACAATAATTTTGATGGACCAAAAATTGAAAAGTTTTGAAATGCTTTTAACTAAAATTGCCAGCGGCTAGCAAAATATATTTCTATTAAACTCAGTCAGTAAATTCAATATCATCTATAATATATTTATTACACATGCAATTTAATACCATCTTCATGTCATTTTTGCCTATATATTTCATAAGAATTAACCAGCATACAAAAGTGCATGTAAAAAGTCAAAAGTTTATTTTCATTAATCAGAATCTTACACTAGTTGTCATATAATACAAAAAAATTTAACTCTTCCAAGAAAATGACATAAAGTTTGCTAAAGGCATAAATAACAATTTCTTGAACTTGTTATATAAACAAGAGCTGTCAGTATGACAGCGTGCTCGACTATTTTCAGTGCTTGATAGTAAATCAAGAGCAGGATAATGTAGAATTTTCTTAGTTAAAAAAGGGCCATATTCTGTCAAAATCCATGTAAGAATTATGGGCCTTGGGCTATGACCTCCTATTATGCTCTCAAAATAAGTGTGGAAAGTTTCAACTCATCTTTTATGGCAACATAAAGGAATAGTCAGCTCAAAAATTACCTTTTATGGCAACATTATAAAGGAATACTCAATTTAAAACATTATCTTTTATGACAACATGGTTTGTTTTCATATTCATCTTGATGAAAGCGTAAGGTTGATAAATAACAATAAAAATTCATGTGCCTTTTAGTTGATTTTCCTATTCTTATGGCATCATAAAGAAAAAGTTAAGCTAAAAATAATCTTTTATGGCGTTACATAAAAAGGAGAAACGTGATATATCACAAATTAACCATATCATTGCACTTATTGTCAGGCTGTTTACTCTCTGTAAGTTGTTGACATTTCTTGGAATCTGTGCTTCTGGCACAGTAACTTGATATAATGCGGTAAAAAAAAATTATCATAAAACTTCTAAATGTAGTAGTACAGTTTGATATATGACATTATAAAGTTAATCATTAAAATCTTATGTAGCAAAATTATTACAAATCTGATATGTGATACAAGAGATATAGTCTCATTAAAAAAATTATAAATATCTAATGCCAAAGACCTTAGGTATGTATTTTTGTAATTTCGAATCTCAAAATTACAAGCTATAATTGTAAACAGTTCAAATGATTTTACTGAATCCTGTGGTTCCAAGCCTACATAAATTCTCATTAAAGGCACAGTATGCCTCAGAAAAACAGTCTGTTAGCTCAATAGGTAGGGCATTGGACTGTGAATCAAATGACCCAGGTTCGATTTCCGGACAGTGCAGGTCACTTTCACTCTGATTGATCATGAAATCTTTTCTAAAAATTCTTGTTAAACAGGGGGTGTAACTCAAGAAATATTGCTTTCAGAATTATGCCCCTTGTCTATCAACAGCACCTTGTCGTGATAAGCAAGTATTCCTATTTTCATGATGTTTGAATAATGACCTAAAATTATTTCAGATTTTGCATGACAACAATGATGCCACAGCGATCATAATTCCTAAATTCTTTCTACGAAACAGACATGCTAAAAATTAAAATTCTCTTTACTAACCTGATATGTCAAACTTGGCAGCCTGGATATCTTCAAACAAATTATCTCCCTTTACATTAGGTATAATACACTGAAGCTGACTGAGAACAGCTTCATCTCTCGGAGTTATCTTTCCTGCTTCTGGTGATCTATTTATAGTATCAACCAATATTGTACCTGAAAAAAGATAACAGATTCATTAAAAGCATATGTCAGATATGAAAAAATATCATTTGTAATTGAATAGATATATTTTGTTATTGATCAATAGATATCATTGGTAGTTTTATCATTCATTAGATATCTTTTCTTATTCAATTAATAGACAACTAAAATTGTTATGAAATATATAAAATTTGTACCTGAATAGATATCATTTGTTATTGAATAGATATTATTTGTTATTGAATAGATATTATTTGTAATTGAATAAGTATCATTTGTTATTTAATAGACATCTTTTGTATCATTTGTTATTGAATAGATATCTTTTGTTATTGAAAAGATATCATTTGTTATTTAATAGATATTTTTTGTTATACAATAGACATCTTTTGATATGAAATATATAACATTTGTAACTGAATAGATGTCATTTGTTATTGAAATTAGATATGATTTGTAAATGAATAGATATCTTTTGCTATTGATATTATTTGTTATTGAATATTCTGACATCATATGTTACTAAATAGACATCATACATTGTTTTTGAAAAGATATTATTTGTTATTGACTAGACAAAATTTGTAACTGAATAGATATGATTTGTTATTTAATATTTATTATTATTTTGTTATTGAATAATCATATATTATTTTGTTCTGAAGAGATACCATTTTGAGTCCATAATTCCTTTTGTTTCAACAAAGATATCATGCGTTATTGAATAAGACATTATTTGCAAATGAATAATAATTCTTCCTTCCTTTTACTGACAATCAACAGAAACAGAGAGAGTCTGACATTTTCCCCAACACTCCATCACGACATACGATAAATCAAATTATCTCAAATCTACATGCAAAACAACAATTTGTTTCCAAGCGCTTGGTAAATCACTTTTAAATGACTTACAAATGTAGCTAATTAATGGATCTACAGAAAATGAGTGAGACTAAAATCAGATTCTATTCTTCTGACAATTTCAGAGCTGCTTGTCATTTGAGATTTAAATCTCATAATGAGTGTTAACAATAAATTTTAAGTTCAAATTGATTAGGTCTTAGGAATTTATGCCGATTTTAGACTCTCAATTCAAAATGTTTTACAATGGATGAATTAAAGTATTTATAAATACAAGTATGTAAATTATTTTATATACCAATTTTTTTGTGGTTGGGATTTAAATTGCTCGGAGACTTATAATAATGATCTTTAAAGGTGACTTTCCAGCTTTACTGTTCGATCTAAGGTGCCCCTCCTTGCATTATTTCAGGCACGAACGAACGGGCACATGGGGCATTCATATTCGCATCTTATACTTCAAAGTAATTTATTATTACTAATCTATAAATAGCTGCTTTGAGATTGGTTAAACTGCGCAGGAGTGTAATAAAGCCCTTTAATAAAAGCAATTGTGTGATTCTTAGCCTATTTGGAAAGAAATTAGTGTTGCAACACTTTTCATTTTTTTGATATTTTTCACAATAACAAGAGCTGTGTTGCAACACTTTTCATTTTTTTGATATTTTTCACAATAACAAGAGCTGTCCATTTTTTTTTATATTTTTCACAATAACAAGAGCTGTCCATTTTTTTTTGATATTTTTCACAATAACAAGAGCTCAGCTGTCCATTTTTTTTATATTTTTCACAATAACAAGAGCTGTCCATTTTTTTTGATATTTTTCACAATAACAAGAGCTGTCCATTTTTTTTTATATTTTTCACAATAACAAGTCAGCTGTCCATTTTTTTTGATATTTTTCACAATAACAAGAGCTGTCCATTTTTTTGGATATTTTTCACAATAACAAGAGCTGTCCATTTTTTTGATATTTTTCACAATAACAAGAGCTGTCCATAGGACAACTATTCTTAGTGCTTGAAAGTAATTAAAGAACCTTGATAATGTAAAATTTTCTAAGTTAACAAAAGAGCTCATTTTTTCTTTAAATCCATGTTACAGTTAGAGACCTCTGAGTTAGTCCTATTATGCTCTCAAGGAAGTGTATGAATTTCAACTTATTTCAAAGCCAGATGTCAATGGAATATGAAATGGAATATGAAAATATCCGAGATGGTATGCAAACTTTGTGTACAAACCTCCTGTGTACACCTTGGGGGCATGATGGTGAACAAATGTGCAAAGTTTCAAAGCCATATGTCAATATTTGAGGTGTTACAAAAACTTTAACGTAAATTTTAAGTTGAAAAAGGACATAATTCTCTCAAAATGCTTGATAGAGTTACCTCCTCCTGACTACAGGTCGGGGTCATGATGGTGAACAAGTGTACAAAGTTTCATAGCTATATGTCAATGGACTTTGAAAATACTTGAGGTGTTACAAAACATTTAACATAAATGGTTACCTGTGAGGACTGGTTACAATGGACTTTGAAAATATTTGAGGTGTTACAAAACATTTAACATAAATGGTTACCTGTGAGGACTGGTTACAATGGACTTTGAAAATATTTGAGGTGTAACAAAAAAAAATTAACATAAGTGGTTACACAGACACCAACACCGACGCTCAAGTGACTAGGAATAGCTCTTCTTACTCTTATTGAATAGTCGAGCTAAAAATGATGATTCTGAAAAAAAATATTTCCAGCAGTCATGTCAAAAAAACCTTGGTTGAGTCCCTTTAACGGACATAATATTATGTAAGCCATTTTAAACCAAATAAAATTTTAATATATTCAAGTAATTCGATACATTTACTTGCACTTAGTAGGTTTTTTATTACCATAATACTCCAGTGCAATTGGGTCTTCCTTTTACAGTGTCAAAGAATTGATTTTATCACCTTACACCCCAGTTACACAGAGCCATCGGTGATTGATCGGTAGTTTTTTTAGCCAAATTATGGAGTGAACCGATGACAACGTATTTAACACCGATATCACCTATTGGTCACCTGTTTTCCACCTATCAACTGCTATTGGGGAAAGATAAGTTTCATCGGTGAAAAATTACCAATTGGGATTTTTAAACACGTTTAAAATTCTCGATCGGTGAAAATATTTTAAAAATAACCGACGGCAACCTATATCACCAGATATGCAAGCTCTTAATCACCGATATCGCCGATCAGACAAAGATAACCAAATATGAATCACCGGCCATATCTGACGGAAAGAGTTTAACCACTGATGACTAGCTATCAAACACCGATTAATCAGCGTTACGCCCGATTTAGCTCCAATTTACAAACGATAAAAACCAAAAGTATTTCAGCATTTAATCATCGACCCATTCCCGTTTGAGTTTGCTTTCTGTCACCGATGGCCGTTTACACAGAAAACCAGAAATAAAATCACGCATGACAACCGATCATAACAGCGAGTAAATTTAAAATTAAATGACCGATTGGGGACCGACCGTCTGTGTAACTGGACCCTTACATAACCATTTCCAGCAACAAAATGCATCATCAGCATTTTTCAACATTTTAAGGAACTCCACTGAGGTCCAAAAATCTAAAAACATAAAAATTGGAAGTTTTTACACAGATCATTCTTTAAGACTATGTGGTACTTAAAATGGAAAGATCCATGTAAATCCATGTTAGAGTTACGGCCATGGGCAGTGGCCCAAATATTTAACCAAAAGTGTGATGTCACTGATGCTAACATGGAAGCTGGGAATGAAAACACTACTCTCTTCGAATAGTTGAGCTAAAAACACATAGAAACCCCAACTGAAAACAACAATTTTCAAACTCAATACATTTTTTGTTGTTTGTTACAATTTTCTCCCATCTAAAGACAGCTCTGTAAAAGTACTCTTTAGGAACAATAAATGGTTTCACACGTTTGTACACAATTTCTCCTGTTTTATACAGGAAAACATAATGAATTTTTAACGAGAATGCTTAATGAGATGTAGGAAAACTGCATTAAACACTTGTGTGAGCAGGAGAAAGGAACGTTCATGGTTTTCTACAATCCATATTGTGAAAAGGAATAACAAAATGCTTTCCAAATAATCCTATGGGAGACTAGAAGGGAGTGCCATACCAACCGTTTAGAGTGTATAAGAGATGACTGGTATGGTTTGAGGTGAAGTAGAGATGATTTTTTTTACATACCCATTGGGTAGGGGAGATGTGTTATGGTCGAAAATGAAGAAGAAATGTGGTTTGTTTAAGATAAAGTAGAGATGTGGTATGGTTTAAGGTAAGGTAAAGATGTGGTATGGTTTCAGATGAAGAAGAATGTGGTATGGTTTAAGGTGAAGTAGAGGTATGGTATGGTTTAAGGTATGGTTTAAGGTAAACTAGAGATATGGTATGGTTTTGGGTAAAGTAGAGATGTGGTATGGTTTAAGGTTAAATAGAAATGTGGTATGGTTTAAAGTAAGGTAAAGATGTGGTATGGTTTAAGGTGGGGTACAGTTGTGGTATGGTTTAAGGTGACGTAGAAATGTGGTATGGTTTAAGGTGACATAGAAATGTGGTATGGTTTAAGGTGAAGTAGAAATGAGATATGGTTTAAGGTAAAGTAGAGTTGTGGTATGGTTTAAGGTAAAGTAGAGATGTGGTATGGTTTAAGGTAAAATAGAAATGAGATATGGTTTAAGGTAAAGTAGAGATGTGGTATAGTTTAAGGTGAAGTAGAAATGAGATATGGTTTAAGGTAAAGTAGAGTTGTGGTATGGTTTAAGGTAAAGTAGAGATGTGGTACAGTTTAAGGTAAAATAGAAATGAGATATGGTTTAAGGTAAAGTAGAGATGTGGTATAGTTTAAGGTAAAATAGAAATGAGATATGGTTTAAGGTAAAGTAGAGATGTGGTATAGTTTAAGGTGAAGTAGAAATGAGATATGGCTACAGGTGAAGTAGAGATGTGGTATGGTTACAGGTGAAGTAGAGATGTGGTATGGTTTAAGGTGAGGTAAAGATGTGGTATGGTTTAAGGTAAGGTAAAGATGTGGTATGGTTTAAGGTAAAGTAGAGATGTGGTATGGTTTAAGGTGAAGAAGAGATGTGGTATGGTTTAAGGTGAAGA